CTTAAAGTTCATGCACTATTCAGTGAGAAACCAACAGTAATCGCAGTGATCTGGTGTTGGAGGGTGTTCACGGGACATTGTTAGCAACTGTTAGTTCTTAAGCATACTACATGCATGAGTATACAAAATCAACAACCAAGCACAACAAACACACACCAAAGGTAGGCACGTGAGGGGGGGTAGCATATATATATATATACATATGTATATGTATATGTGTAGATGCGTGTATACATACATGTATATATATATATATATGTTATATATATACATATGTATATATACATATATGTATTCATACATATATGTTTTTGTTTATGTATACGCGTGTATCCACATAGGGAAGAAGGAGGACCCTGGAGAGCCCAGGATCTCTCGCCCACACCCATGTGAACTGACTTTGGCCAAGGTGCTCCTTCTGAAGATAGCCATTCACATCGCAGGTTTCGTAGAAGCGCTTGTACTCATCCTCGAGCTCAAGTCTTGACGGTGTGCGGACTTGTTGGGCCTAACACTTTCGCCGGTCTACTCCGAATTTCGAGGCCTTGAGCTTCTGGTCGATTTGTCGATGCTAAAGTCGCCCGGCTGGGCATGGCTCTTTTCAATAAGCCCCAGAAGGGCTGGAAAGGTCCTGGCCCTTTTCTTACTTTCGCCATTGCAGCCAAATTGCCCCCTCTCGCTCCATGTGACCTGCCGGCTTTCGATGCTTCGACTGCCGCCATGGATGTTTAGCCCTCACGACTGTGCACGTTGTCTAAGGTCAGGGTGGGCTCATCGAGGCTTGAAGGATTCGGGAGTTTCAGAAAATCGAGGACCCTATTTCCCACAAACCCAGACTAGTAGGATCCATGACAAGGCGATGTTTGAGCATCGTATAATTATCCATGGACGAGAATAAGCTTACAATTCATTGTTCAGACCTCTACAGATTTGGCGCCAAGGTTTCTGCTTGAAGGAAAGCCGTGGAACCACTGTCACGACCCTATCAGCAGAAATCCCAAACTACGAGTTTACCATGAGATCGAGCTGGAGTGTTTAGAGTGCAGGGCTTGGCTCTAGCGCTTAGGGGGACTACCCGGAAGCTTCGTAGTTGGACCCTTCATCTCCAGCCTGGCCTTCACGCGCAGACACGGCTTCTCGCGACATCAGCAAAAAGGCCGAATCGATCCCCTGACATTGCCTTTCTTGCAGCTTCTGTGTGGGGCTCCAGCTTGGGGGGGGGGCTCAGGGTTAGGAGGCCCCCCTGACCTCCGAAGAATCTGGAAAGCTCTTACAGGATGCCCCCTTAGGCCTTGGACTCTGATCCGCTCAGGTGCAGTTCCGAGGTTTTTAGCTCTGCCAGTGTAGACGAAAGGGCTCCGACAAAGGCAAGTCCCCAGATCTGTGATGGCCTTTTTGGGGTTTGCAAAAAGCAGTTTCATGGGATTGTTGGAGAGTTCTGTTGGGTGTTTGAATGCCCCAACTGCGCAAGGCGCGCAAAGATGGCCAAGACTTCAGCTGGATGCACCAAGTTGCATGCGGAATTCGTTGGCCATGCGGTCGTAGGGGTCCTAGGTTTGATGCAGGCAGGCTCTGACGCTGCAACCAAAAAGGGCCAAGGAGTTCTGTTATCAGAAGTCTGAAAGCTGGTGTCAAGCGGGCCTGTGACCATCCCGAAGCCTCTTCCCTTCCGCATGATGCATGGCCTGAAGCATCCAGCCGTCACAGCAGGATAAAGGCCAATAAATGCAGGATTAACGGCTACATAGGCCTTTTGAGTTTAGTATAGCCGAAGACAGCGAAGCACTCCCAAGCAGCCTTCGAACCGAAAAACCCTAACCAAAAACCCCCAAACCCAAATGTCGGTGGTTGAAATGGGGCATCAGGGTTGCCTAGGGCTTCGGATCTGAACCCCAAGATCCTTCACTCTCCAAGTGTCCCGGAGCATGGAGAAGGCCTGCTTGCCTTTCAGCTGCCTCTCGGCCACATCGGCCGGCCACATGGATGGCGGCGTGTAGAACCTGAACACGGAGCCCCAAAACTGAGGCTTAGGGTTTAGGGTTTAGGGTTTAGTAAAACCGAACCCTACGGAAAAAGGAACTCCCCTGGGCTTTAGATTCTGCTGCCGTTTCTCGGCACCTGGGGTTGACAACCTTGGGGGGTGTGCCTCCAATAACTCTGAAATTGCACGCTTCCCTAGCCGGGGTATGCAAGGGCTACAGTATAGTATGATATTTGCATAGACACCGGATTTCCCGACTATTATCTTATCCCGAATACGGAGTGTAGCACACATGCATTTCACAGCAAACATGGACAGGCCATACCAAGTTCGGGACAGTATAGAAGTATGACCTGTCCACAATAATACGACCCCACCTTACCGAAACAAACTACTTTTATAAAAAAAAAAAAGCTGGTTCCATCCACACTTGCTCTTGCCATGAAACTGCTCCTGAAGCCCTATTGTTGACTTAGTGCT